TTTGTTTTGCTGATCATGAGCATGTTTTTTGGGTGAATACCTGCATATTCCGCATATGTATATTTACAATACGATGTTGCATTTTTTCTGCATATCATGACATTGTTTATTGTTCATGGAAAGATCTGTTTGCAATTTACATGCATATGCTGCAAATTTGCAGTACCATATACAGTACATGGAAGACACGGGACGGTCGAAAATGCGTCAAGAATTTTGTAGTTTTAGGATGTTTTAGCTGTTTCAGGACTAAATTAATAGGGTTAGAATGCTCGTCGGGGATTTTCCCATGATATCCCCCACGATAATGAAACGTTGATAAATAGGATGGTAACCTCCGAAAACGGCATTATACACACACACACATATATATATATATATATATATGCGCTGTATATATTACATATGTGTACATGTATTGTACACACGTATTAGATGTGAGTAAACGAGGTGTTCTTGGGTCGGCGGATGACGATATTGCATTTTTTCTGCATATTCTGTCAATTTTAGTGGTCATTTACTTTTTTGCTGATCATGAGCATGTTGTATGGACGAATACCTGCATATTCTACTTACTACTTTACAACACGATATTGCATTTTTTCTGCGTAGTATGACATTGTTTATTGTTCATGTTTTTTTTTGCAATTTACATGCAGTACCATTCACATGGAAGATACGGGACAGTCGAAAATGCGTCAAACATTTTGGAGTTTTAGGGGTTTCAGGACTAAATACACAGGGTTAGAATTGGAATGCCATCCCGGTTTTTTTAAGGTGTTTCAGGACTAAATAAATAGGGTTAGAATGCGCGTCGGGGATTTTCCCACGATATTCCCCACAATAATGAAATGTTGATTAAATAGGATGGTAACCTCTGAAAACGGCATTATACACACATATACGCGCTGTATATATTACATATATGTACATGATTGTACATGTACATACATATTATATGTGAGTAAACGAGGTGTTCTTGGATCGGCGGATGACATTATTGCATTTTTTCTGCATATTACGACAGTTTTGATTGATTTTGGGTAGATTAGATTCATTACTTTTCATTGGTTTTCCATTATATTGATGATGTTTTTCATTATTTTTTATTGTTTCTTTTAATTACATGGTAGAACCGAAAATTATAATGCCACCCTGGTGGAAAGACATGGATTAAACAAAAAAAAACAGGCGTACCGCGTGAGAAATCCAGGAGGCATTCTAACCTTATTTATTTTGTCCTGAAACCTCTTTAAAAAAATCCGGGACGGCATTCAGTGATTTTTCAGTAGTTTGAAGATGGTTTCATTATTTTTCAGTGATTTTACATTATTTTCAAGACGTTGTTCATTACTTCTCATGGACTTTTCATCATTTTCAAGATGTGCTTCGTTCTTTTTCATTGATTTTTCAATGTGTTTGCATGTTTTTCATTATTTTTCATTGATTGTTTAGTGTTTTTCTTCATGATTTTTTATTATGTGTTGGGTAGATTTTTGCAATTTACATGCATATTCTGCATATTTGCAGTACCATATACATGGAAGACACGGGGACGGTCGAAAATTCGTCAAACATTTTCGAGTTTTAGGGGTTTCAGGACTAAATAAATAGGATTTGAATGCCTTCAGGACTAAATGGGTTAGAATGCCTCCTGGATTTCTCACGCGGTACGCGGGTCTTTTCTTGAAATCCACATCTTTCCACCAAAGCGGCATTTTTTAAAATTATGTTTCATTGATTTTTCATTATGTTCATTGTTTTTTCATTATTTTCAAGATTTTTTTCATTATTTTTCATTGATCTTTCATTATTTTGAAGATGGTGTTCATTATGTTCATTTGTTTTTCATTATTTGACGATGTTTTTCATTGATTCTTTAACTATGTGTCATTGGTGTTTCATTATTTTGAAGATGTTGTTCATTCTTGTTCAATGATTTTTCATTATTTCCTAGATGTTTTTAATTATTTTTCATTGATTGTTCAATGTGTATACATGTTTTTCATCATGTTTCACTGATTTTTCAATGTTTTAAAGATGTTTTTCATTATTTTTCATTGTATTGTTGGGTAGAGTCTTGCAATTTACATGCATATTCTGCATATTTGTAGTACATGGAAGACACGGGACGGTCGAAAATTCGAAATTTTGGAGTTTTGGGGTCTTCAGGACTACATAAATAGGGTTAGAATGCCGTCCCGGATTTGTTTAGAGGTTTCAGGACTAAATAAATAGGGTTAGAATGCCTCCCGAATTTCTCACGCGGTACGCGGGTGTTTTTTCTGACGTCCACATCTTTCCACCAAAACGTCATTCTAACTTCCAGTCCGTCGGTATAAATAGATAGATAAAAGTTAGATAATTAGATAGATAAATAGATTGATAAATAGATAGATAAACAGATAGATGAATAGATAGATCAATAGATAGATGAATAGATAGATAAATAGATAGATAAATAGATAGATAAATAGATAGATACATAGATAGATACATAGATAGATACATAGATAGATACATAGATAGATACATAGATACATAGATACATAGATAGATACATAGATAGATAGATAGATAGATACAAAGATAGATACATAGATAGATACATAGATAGATAGATGGATGGATAGATACATACCTAGATAGATACATAGATACAGAAATACGGCGATACATACATACATACATACATACATTAATTACATGCATACATACATTAATTACATGCATACATACATTAATTACATGCATACATACATAAATTACATACATACATACATAAATACATACATACATACACACATACATACATACATACATACATAGTTACATACATACATACATACATATATACATACATACATACATAGTTACATACATACATACATACATAGATACATAGATACATAGATACATACGTACATACGTACATACATAGATACATAGGTACATAGGTACATAGACACATAGATCCACAGATACATAGGTGCATAACATAGATACATAGATACATAGATACATAGGTACATACGTACATACATACATACATAGATAGATAGATACATACATACATAGATAGATAGATAGACTAGATAGATTAGCTAGATTAGATAGATTAGATAGGTTACATAGATTAGATAGATTAGATAGCTTAGATAGCTTAGATAGATTAGATAGATTAGATAGATAGATTAGGTAGATTAGATAGATTAGTTAGATTAGATAGCTTAGATAGATTAGATAGATTAGATAGATTAAATAGATTAGATTAATTAGATAGATTAGATAGATTAGATAGATTAGATAGACTAGATTAGATAGAATAGATAGATTAGGTTGGATTAGACTAGACGAGATTAGATTAGCTAAGATTAGATTAGCTAAGATTAGATAGATAGAGAGAGTGGGATAGAGAGAGAGATAGATAGAGAGGGATCGAGATAGATAAACAGATAGACAGGCAGACAGATATATAGAGATAAAGACAGAGAGAGAGAGACGGGGAGAGAGAGAGGAACAGGACGAGAAAGAGACACAGAGAGAGACAGAGACACAAAGAGAAGGAGACAGAGAGAGATAGATATAGAGAGACTCAGAGCCTCAACAATCTGTCAATCCATCATTGGGTTCGCTCTGGCACCCATGCGTCACGACAACAAACCTCTCCTATAGGTTTCCTATCTTTAAATCTTCCGCCACCGCCTTGGATGTGGACCAAAAAAAACGTTCTTGATTTCAAGATATTTCAAGACAACTTCTGACTTTCAAAATCACAGAGCATCAAGTGTCTGACAGTCACCTGAGTGTTGATGGAGCTTCCTACAGTGTGCGATAGTTTCAGTCTCAGAGCAAAAGGATAAGAATCTCTGCGGAAGCCCTGAAGTGGAATGCTGCTGTCCTTTGCTGCCTCCCATTCCCGCAGTGTTGGCGGCCTCAAATCGTCATTACACACAGCTTTACAAGATGAATTGTGGCTATGGAAGAACTCCCTCCATGATAAATCGCACCAACTAAATCGCACCAACTTGGCTAATGATTGGTCCAAAAATGGAACTTCTGCAAGCCTTGCGGCTTTGACAAGGATCCCCAAATAAACAAATTGAATATAGTAATTACCCAGTACCCAATCAATGGGGGTGCGACTGACCAGCTGACATGCATCAGAATCTGCCAAGTTAACAATCCACAAATCCGACACTGGCCAGCCAAGTGCACAAACCTTGGCTGTCATGGGAGTGGCTCCGACCTCACAAACTCGAGTGCAGGAAAAGGCCAAAGGCGAAGTGACTGTGATCAAAATATGGAATTGTTTGAGATTAGGTTATCCCGAAATCCACTGGTTTATCAAGAGGGCCATTTGGGGGGTGTACAGTACCGGGTGCAAGGAGCAAACTGGTAGCCTAAGCTGTTTGTCCTGTTTCGTTTGTAGCACTTCTCAATTTGTGCTGTGTCGTCCGTGCTCACAATGAAGAGCAGCTGCTGCGCCTTTTCCAGCGCACAGGGCCCACGGTGCAGGGCCTATGGCACAAGTAGCACGAGTGGCCTGGAAAGGCCAAAAGGCAAAAGGAATTCCTGGCATGGGCATTGGGCCGTTAAATGGCCATGGAAATATATTGTACATTCATGAAACATCCATGCCAAGGTAAAGGTGTGAAGGCAAACTATGTTTTACCTGGGTTTCTTGCATACCCCAGGGGTCGTTGCCGAAACACCTTGACATTGGAGAAAATCTACCCAGCTCACACCGGTGAACTCCTCCTCAGTCTCGCGGGCATCCATCTTGCGCTTCTTCTTCGCTGATGTAAAACTCTCGTCGAACATCAGCGACCACTGCTGTCCAGTCATGAGAAACTTCTTCAAGCGTTCTTGCGCACTGGACTTAGTGAGTCCATCAGCCAACTGCTGATCACTGTTGCACCATCTCAAGGTCGTCGACTGTCTCTCCAGATGCTCGACGATCGCCATCAGTTCGAGGGCAGTGTATTTTTCCTTGAGGTTCAGTCCAGCAGATTGGCAGCGTCATAGAGCGCCTTTGCGTCCACCATGATGATCGCGTGGACATTCTTGGCGGTCTCGTCGGCCTTGGTGAGGTCGATCTTGTGGCCCAGCATCTCCCACCATTGTACTCGCAAGTACATGAGTTCTTGCTCGGCTTCGGCCAGCGCCTGTGTTTCTGCAGCCAAAGAAGATCTGCAGACCCTCTTGAGGCGATGACTGCCCCAAGACATCACGTTCACTTGACCACGTCGTTGTCCTGTTGTGAACTGCTTGTGCATGAAGCCGATGATGTAGCCACCTGTCGATCCCAAGTCTGGCCTGTTGGCCAATGCCGCGTCGCTCCAAGCCACCAAAGTGAGGTCATCATCACGTTCAGCACAAAGTTGGTACACATGTAGTCCCAGCTCCTTCTGTGCATGAACTTCTCGAACCATCTTGTTGATGCCCTCCACCATAGAGCGATCACCTTTGGTCAGCATGGACTGGAAGTAGCCCAGCTTCGCTGCATGTTGTGGACCTGTTTGGTACGCACGCCATTGTACTGCCCCAAGAACTGCTCGTGCTTGATGTAGTTCCTCCGGGGTGAGCTCCTTCTGGTTGGACTCCTGCTTGATCTGGTTGATCTCGTTGCAGTAGTCGGATTGATCCATGCGCCAGCTGAAGTCTGGTAGTTGGTGAAGTCGCACTCCACAGTGATTGAGAGGCGGTGCTTCCCATGGGCTCCACCTCATAGATGCGTGGAACTTCTCGAGGACGTCGATCCACCTCGGGTCGTTCTCGTAGCCCGTCATGAGGAAGTCGTCAACATGGGATCCAATGATGCCCAAAGTTTTCGGCTTGCCATCCTCCTCGACCACATACTGCCAGAGACATGGGTCGGTCTTCAGCCGTCGTAGTTGATGTCGCTCCAACGTGTCATTGACCATCATATAGAACTCTCTCGGTGCAATCGTCAGACCGTAGGCAGCCTTGAGGAATTGTATGAGCTGATGTTGGTCCAGCCCCATAGCTTCGCGCAATTCTTCCACTGGTCTGCCAAAGATGGAACGTTGCCCTTGTGTGGCAAGTCCCTGCAGGAATGCAGCTTTCGCGTCTGCTTTGAGAAGTGGTAGTCCACGATGGGTGGAAAACTGAAGAAGCAATTGTCGGCTACGCCGCGACATGGTGGGTGACTTGGTGTTGAGGTCACCTGCATCTGGGTCTGAATACCCCAGCACCACCAGTCGTGCTTTCGCCTTCATTCTCTTTCCTCCATCACCACTATTCTCACATGCGTCGTCGACGCCCTTGAAAGTCAGCACCCAGCGCATCTTCATAATACGCTGTGGGTCAACATCTCCGATTGCAGCACGGCAAACTTTTGAGGCAACCCATTCCTTGATCTCCACACGCTTCGCCTCAGTCATAGCTTCTCGCTGTTCTTTGTTGAGCTTGTGCCAAGATACCTCAACTCCCTTGGCAACTTGTTTCCCAACAAACTTGGCCGGGTCTTTCACAATGGCTTTCCACTGTGCAGCTGTCTCCGGCATGGGAAGCGTGATGGCGTAGATCAGGTTGTCCTCGAAGGTCTCCTCCTGAACCATCATAGCTGCACTCGCACTGCCACGGCTCAGCATAGATCTCATCCTCTGAGCTTCATCTCGTTCATGTCGAGCTCGGGCACGTTGGAAAGGTTCGTGCTCGAAGAGAGGACCGGTTGGAGGTCCAGGCTCCATTCGTGGCATGTAGTTCGGGTCGTCCAGCAGGCGGTCCAGGTCAACTTCTTCAGGACCTTCCAAATCATCGTCACTTGGAACTGGAGGTAGATCTTGGTCATCAGGCATGAACTCCTCCGCGATGGAAGGCTCGTAGGGCTCGCTCGGAGGTCTGTCGTTCATGACCGCCTCCTCCGTCTTGGCCTTTGTTGGAGGTGCACTGCGTGGTCTTGAAGCTGAGTTTGCTCTCTTCTGTCCACCACGTCCACGGCTGGGAGAACGTCGAGGTTTGACATCATGAGGTCGGCCTCGTTGTAGATGGGGTAGTTCCACCAGGTCAACACGTTGGTCACGTCAGTGAAGGTCCAGGGTGTGGCCAGGATGTCGTGGAACTCCTCATTGGTCAGCTTCTCGCGTTCTGAAGCATGCCGTAGTTGATCTGTGTGCACTCGTTTCAGTCTGCCTTGACTGATGAGCCAGGCCATTCGGTGCGGCTGTGTCACTTGGCCTTCATAGGTCACCTTTGTCTCAAGCCCCAAAATCCGGGCTGGTCCAAACCATCTCGAGATCTGTCGCCTCGGCACATCCAGCTTCTGATGACTTCGTCCTTCGGCAGGAGCTTGATGTCGCTTGTAGTAGACCAGGTCGCCAGGATGATAGGCTCGGGCTTGATGTTCATGGCCTTGCTCAGCTTCTCCAGGTCCATGAGCTCTTTGTACTTGGTCTTGACCTTTTCTCACATGCCAGCGATCTTCTGGAACTTCTCGTCGGTGTTGAGGGAACTCCAGAAGGGTAGATCAGGTCCATCATGTAGTCGATCAGCATCAGTGAAGTCCTTGCCGAAGACCCACTGGATGGGTGAGTAGCCACCTCGTCGGGCCATGGAGTTGTGGGCAGCCACCATAGACCAGGCAGCAGCCACTGGATCATCTTCTTCTCCTCGTAGATGAGCTTGAGGTTTGCTCTTCAGCTTTCCAATGGCAGATTCCACCTTGCCAATTTGTCCATGGGCTTCCGCAGGCACGAACTCAAACTCCACGCCATGGGTGTCTCCCCATTGCTCCAGATCTCGGCCTCGGTGTCCACCTTCTTTGTCCAGCTTGAACTTCTGCGGGTAGCCGAAGTACTGGATCCAAGACTTCAAAATGCCATGTAAGATCTCCGCAGTAGATGGGCTGCGGCTTTCCTGAATCGGATGCTTGAAGAGGTAGTTCAGCACGGAGTATCCAGATGCCTCGTCCACGAGCAGCTGGAAGTGGTAGGTCTCCATGCCATAGGAAAATTCGAAATTGTCCAGTTGGACAACTTCCCAGAGATGTTCTGCCGTCTCCAGGGTGAAGCCACGATGTTGAGGATTTGCCATCCGGGATTCTTCACAATCCATGCAATGAAGATTGCTCGCCAGTGTGATCATGCGGATGGTTGCACCTCGATCACGTAGCATTCGGGTAAAAGCTTGTCGTGAAGGATGTCCCAGCTTCTTGTGGAGCTTCAGCAAGTTGGTCGCCCATCGTTGTAGTTCTTCGTTGGTGCAATCCTTGAGGGAGTCTGGATTGCCTTCCACAGGTGTAGCGGCCATAGCATAGCCAGGGCAGCTGTAGTGCGCCAGAGTCTCTTGTCGAAGACGGTTTTCATGAACGCACTTCACCAGATGAGCCACCTTGCGGCACATCGCATCAGGATAGAAGGCTGACATCCTGGTGCGTTGTCCACCTTCACAGGGAACGTGTTCATGGTCTCCTGGGCAGGTTTTCTGCAAATTCCACACCAGAGAACTGGTCGCTCTTATCCTCCACGGCTTCTTCATAAAGCCTTCTGGTGCTTGAAGTCCTTTTGCGTTCCGCTTGAGGCCATCAGGCGCCTTCAAGCCGTAGGCACATCCGTCTATACGAGCTTCAAAGACTGTCTGCTTCTGGTAGATGCGGTCCCAGAAGGTTCGGATGCTCGTGAAGCCCCAGGCCCTGTTGTTGGCAGGCCATTCTTGAAAAACTTCTCCACCAAGTTGTACTTGTCTCTCCATGACGCGGATGCCATTGCCCACAAGTTTCTTCGACTTCAGCACTTTCTTGCGGATCTTTTCACGTCCTTCCTCAGTCAGCATGTTGAGCTCTTGAATGGCTGATGTAGGACCACATGGAAATGAAACCCATAGAAGGTCGGGCTTCTCCTTCTCCAAAAGTTGAAGCACCTTCTGAACTCCTTCCAATGCCACCCATAGCTTCAACCTCGGTGCTGATGCCGCTGTCGGCCTCACAGCACAATTCCATGACCTTAAAAGGTCGTCGTTTTCCTTCAATCCCCAAGTTTTCCATCAACAAGTTGCAGCCTTGCTCCATGTCATCCACAGCTGCATGAAGTAGGGATCGTTGTTCTTCAGAGAGTTGCTTCCCTGACAACATGCTGCCCTCTGGGACAGTTGCAGGGTCCTCCACTTCATAGAGGTTCAGATCCCAATCATCACCTTGAGGTAGTTGAAGTTCGGCCACCATAGAGCTCGGCAGTGATGTAGGTGAAGATCTTGTAGGACTCGGCGTGCACGGCTTCAGCCAGTAGGGATTGGTGTCCAGTCCTCCGTCTCCTGATCTTCCACCGCTATCACCGCACTCTGGTGAGCTTCTGCTGTGTCCTCGGCTCTCCTTGTCTTTCTCTCCACAGGCGTCACTGTCGCCTTGGCCTTGGCTGCTGCTGGCTGAGGTCCCGAAGCATAGCCTTTTGTGACTTGGCTTTGCTCCCACTCGGCCTTCTTCTTCTGCACGTTCTCCAACTTTCGAAGTAGACTGGCCTCGGCGCCGTCCAGGGAGATCTTCTCGTTCTTCAGGTGGTTGTTGCCCAGCAGCTCGTTGGCCGGCAGCTTGGAGATCGCCTGGGCCGTGTCCTTGTCCAAGGGACCGGCTTTGCGGGTGGCCCCTGTCGCCCCGAATGCCGGGGTGTAAGACATCCGAAGGTGGCAGCTTTCGCATGCCTCCCATATCGCATACCGGTTGGACCCCGACTTGGAGCCAGGCCCCGGTTTGGCCACCTTGTGGTGTCCGTAGCAGGGGGCTCCCGTCGTCCGCGGATCCCGCGGATCCGCTGACTGGGTTCTGCTGTAGTCGTAGACTTCCGTCGGTGGTGGCTTCTCCACCTTGGTCGATGCCTTCTTCGGTGCCATGGCAAGGACCAGTGGTCGAGGGATCGTGGGCCAGCGAAGACATCACTTGATCCCGAAGTTCTTGCGATGGAGCATGCATAGGTTGATGGTGTCCATGTTGATCCACAACCAAAACTGTAGCATCTTCACAAAGTTGAAGGATTTGATCATCATGACATCCATCTCCATGATTCATCATCACTGCACCATCGTGTGTGAGCAACTGCAACATGTCCGACTGTGACATCACTGAAAGACTAAAACCTTGAACACCTTGATGTGACCTTGATTGCATGGCTTCTGAATGTGGATTGTTGTCACTCCCATCCCCCAGCGGCTGCACCATATATACTCGACCACAGGAGGATGCCATGGGTTGACCTTGTGCCAACCAGTCTTGGGTGAGGTCCACCAGCAAGTGTCCGGCAGCGCTTTTCTGCAGAGGGATCTTGATCTTGGCATCGACGTTGGTGAGCACAAGCCAGCCACCAGTCACATACACGATCGCACCAAGTTTGGTCAAGGTGCGCATGCCAATGAGGATCGGCACTTTCTCCGCCATCAGGGTGTAGATGCCCAAGAGAACCTTCTTGGCGCCAACATGTTGAGGAAGTAGACGATAACTTTCACTTTGCTTCACCTGACCATTCCCAAAGCGAAACATCTTCTTGGCCTCAGGCATGACTCGAACTTCATCATGGTCTCCAGGAAGTAGATGTCCAAGTTGATGTCGACGTTGTAGAACCTTCTCAATGGCCTCCAGGGATCCGACAGTCTCGGTCGCACCCAAGTCGAGCACACCAAAGCCAGCTGTGTCATGTTGTACTTGAAGAGGAGTCACGGGCACATAGTTGTCCGCCACCATGAAGATCAAGCTCGAAGGGTTCAGGTTCTCGACCATGTAGGAGGTACAGCCCTTGCCACGTTGAGCATAAGGCGCTGAGGTTTGACCTGAGCGTCTTGGACAGTCACGGAATCCGTGAGACTTTTCCCCACAGATAAAGCAACCAGTGTTGTTTCCAGTTGCTGCCATCACCTCCTCAGACTTCATCACCGATGCCTTAGACATAGATGAAGATGTTGTAGACGAAGTAGAAACACCACCGCGTCCTTGAGGTCGATAGAAGCCTTTGCCTTTGCCTTTGCCCTTCTTGCCCTTGTTCATGGGGTAGAAGCCACGTGATTGACCTTTGGCTCGTTGGTATTGTCGGCTCTGTTGGAAAGTTCTCGCCTTTGTCTCATAGGCTGAGTAAGCCTCATCCAACTCTTTGGCCTGTTCTGTTGTGAGACCCTCATAGTCGTCCATTTCAGAGGTCCAATAGTTGCCAAACCCGTCGGTCTCAAACCATTGGCCATAGTTGTCCTGGACATAGCCATGATATCCATCCATCTCCCAAGACCAGTAGATCTCCTCGTCACCCTCGTCGATGTGCGTCTTGTCCGTAGGATGATATACTTCAGGAGGTAGTGACTTTCCAACCCAGTGCACTTCTTGCACTGCCTCATCTTGTTGTTCGTCTTGTAGTGCAAGTAGTCCCCAAGCTCCATCTTCCTCGACCCAAAACGTGCGTCGATGTCGATGAGCTTGTTGGCGATGTAGATCTCCATGTAAAAGTTCTTCTTCTTGGTCACGTAGGGCGTTCTCGATGTCGCGGTACTTCAAGGAGTTTTGAACTGAAGCCTGAACTGCAAGTCGTGCTGATGCAGGAAGGTTGGCACGTCGTAGTAGGAGCCAGCCTAACAGCTCGTCGGGGAGCACCTCGATCTCTTCCATCTCCAGCTCATCCCAACGTAGTTCCTCATCGGACTCTTCTTCATCGGCTTCCTTGTCCTTTGTCGCCTTGAGCCACTTACACCATTGTTTAGGCGTCCATCGGTTGTACCATGATGTCCAATCTTGGCCGTCACCTTCTCCATCAGGATCGTCTTGAGGTACTGCATCATAATGGTGTCCGTCTCCACCTTCAGGTTGATCGGCTTGTTGGGGTTCTTCAGGACCAGGAACTCTTCCATGCGCAGGTGAGGGCGTTGTAGGGCTCCGTCGAGCGCGTCCACCAGGGCTACCTGGTGACGCAGGCTCTGAGTGCGGCTCAGATGCCGTCCGTCTCTCTGTCTTGGGCTCCACTTTCTCCTCCTTGGCAGGCTTTGCTCGGGCACGAGCTCGGATTAGAGAACGTTGCACCTTGCGGTAGCTCTCCAGGAGCGTTGCACTCCATTGTGCAAAGCCCATTCCAGGCGGTCGCCTGAGCTTGATGAGCAACTCCTCAAGCCTCGCACCAGCGTCAGGAACAGCTGTTTGACATAGTCTGGAGCGCAAGAACTCCAGGAGGTACTTCACGCCAGAGCGGGTGCTGAGCTTTGCATAGTCCAGCTCCGCCGTCACAGTCCATGCTCGTCCTGTCAGCCTTGATGCCAGTTCAGGAGCTAGTAGCTTCCGCTTGTGGGGCTCCGTCTTCTCATACTGAAGCCTCACTTTCCTGGTGTAGTCAGTCCACGTAGTTTGATCACCATCCCAGGTCACGTAGATGTCCTTCGCCTGAAGCGTGGTCATGTAGTCGAAGTTCAGGAAGTAGGGCTCGTCCAGCTGGAGGGTGTCCACGTAGAAAACCAAGAAGCCAGGAAGTGGTTGTAGACGAAGTAGAGCAAGAAGGATGACCCCAAGCAGCCACCAGGGAGTGGTCGCCCAAGTAGAGGACGTCGTAGCTGCGAGAGCGGGCACTGGTCGCCACGCTCCGCTACCAATGCGAGGAGCAAACTGGTAGCCTAAGCTGTTTGTCCTGTTTCGTTTGTAGCACTTCTCAATTTGTGCTGTGTCGTCCGTGCTCACAATGAAGAGCAGCTGCTGCGCCTTTTCCAGCGCACAGGGCCCACGGTGCAGGGCCTATGGCACAAGTAGCACGAGTGGCCTGGAAAGGCCAAAAGGCAAAAGGAATTCCTGGCATGGGCATTGGGCCGTTAAATGGCCATGGAAATATATTGTACATTCATGAAACATCCATGCCAAGGTAAAGGTGTGAAGGCAAACTATGTTTTACCTGGGTTTCTTGCACCGGGTACCCCATCTTCAGACACGCCCATATCTCAATTAAATCCTCAATCCACTCTGGATAAACATGTACGATTTACCATGCCATGATCCTTTGCTGACCTTCTCGAGAGCTGCATTCACACGGTCCCTTGCACTGTCAACCTGCTCAGATGTCAAAGTCTGATGTCCCCAGTGTGGGAAAGAAACAGTATGAAACAGTGATGACCTGATGATTTTCCAGAAATTTGAATGACAATGACCTATCCGCCAAACTTGGATCATAAGACCATAGTCATAGAAGGCCTGGTCCACCATGCCCTTCAACACAACCTGAGTATGAACAATTTGGCCAAGTTGATCTAGGTTGAGCGTTGAATATGTTGAATATCTTCATTGAGGTCGCCACAGTGCTGTACCCTAAATTGCTGGTGGTCTGGTCAATCACGATTTGAGCACCTGTCTCCTTTCACGTTTTTGGAGTACCGTTTTTTGCATGACTTTGTGGGCGGAAAAATGTCCAATGTACGTATAGGGTCCTGTTGAATCTCCTGGACAACACCACCTGCCACAAACATATTCCAACACCGACAATTCACAATTAAGCAAGGAAAAACATCCCAGACACAGCTGGGAGACTGGCCTTTCTTGCCGAGCAACCATCCAACGCAGCGCTGTTCGACCTCAACTCTTTCCTGCGCCAACAATTTTTCCTGCAGCCTGCATATTCGTGACATTTCCTGACTGGATTTGAGACGCTTAAACGATACAGTCAATGTTCCTGTCGCACATGCTCACCAACAAGAATTGACCTTGTCAAGAATACAAGCAGTGCAAATATGGCCCGGCTTCAAACCCGAAAAAATTGTGCAGAGTGTGTTTCAGCCAATGCATCACTATTGTCTGCAAACAAAAGGTGCGTGAGGGTTCTACCCGTAGAAATGATGGATATACAGCTGGCACATACTGAAGCGTGGGTGTCTATATCATTGCGTATACAGATGGAGCCCGGGCAAGCAATGTGGCGGAAGTCTAGAAAAGGTAGACTTCTAGAAACCTATCAAAGAAAAGGTGAACCTATAGGGAGGCGTGACCACATGGTTCCCAAAGTTCCTGTCGGTGTCAACTTTCTTGACATGCTTTTCTTGACGACCTTGACGCCCACACTTTCTCTTGATCCAGTTTTCTTTTGACGGCCTTTTCTCTTGGCATCCCTTTCTCTTAACATGCCCTTTTCTTGAGACATTTGTTCCGTGTGATCCCTTTCTCTTGACATCTCTTTTTGGTGACAGCAAATTCAGCAAATAGGCAAAAGGCGTCAAGAAAAGAGATGAGCAGAGATAGAGCTGGCAAGAGAAAGAGACGTTGCGCGACAAAGTCCGACAAAGATTTCAAGACATTGTTCAACGCACAGATGTTCTTTTGCGTGTCCAAAATGCAAATTCTCCCTTTGCCTTTGACACTTCCGCCCCCGGCCTGCCACGGGTCTACACGTATACAATATATTTCAATATATCTATTTACGAGCGAGAGAGAGAGAGAGAGAGCGAGAGCGAGAGCAAGAGCGAGCGAGCGAGAGCAAGAGCGAGCGAGCGAGGGCAAGAGCGAGCGAGCGAGGGAAGGGGGGAACGAGGGAAGAAGGGAAGGGGGGAAGGAGGGAGGGGAGTGAGGGCCCAAGACCATTTTTCCAACCTTGCCCTGGGCTCCTCCGCAACCTGGCCTTCTCGGGCGGCCTTGGCTGTTGGAAACTGCTTTGCGGTCAGCATCTGATTCGATGCTGACGGCTGAGCTGTCAACTTTTGCTCTTTCAATGGAGAGTTCGATGGCTTGCCTTTGAGCCATGCCGTGCAAATTGGCTTTGAACAAACAATTTGCAAATATCAGTCAAATTGATGATTTCTTCCACGCACGAATCTCTTGCAAGCTTGGGGGGACCTATATTAGCATCGACTAACGGAGAAAATGGCATACAAGCATCAACCAAAGAGGCAGGGGCTGGGCCGCGGCTCTCATCAGATTTCAACTTGGACATCCAAATATTGATGAGTCACTTTGCATCTGCAATCTGCTCCGGCAAACCAAGCAGCTGGACCTGGCTTGCACTACCGGGAGGGAGGCGTCATCCGCATCTTCAACAACTGCTGCAGTGATATGACCAAGTCCCACGCAACGCTGTAGCCAAGACTTTTGGTCTCCTGGTCGACAAAGATCTGGCAGCCACTTGCCTGCCAGCTTTGAACTTAGACTTCCACTCAGTGCTGGAGCACCCTTGATTGGAGCACCTTTTCGATGTCGGCAATAGCTGCTCCGCCTTTGCCCAACAAATACCCAATGTATCTTTGCCTTGGTCACTGAAACTCTCTATTTCACAAGGCTATGCTGAGCATAACGTTGAACCCGTTTTTTGGCCGTGCTGCGCATTAGTATTTTGTGGTTCTGCTCAATTGTCAGCTCCAGCAAGTGAAAAGCACTTTGAAACTTTGAAGTGTTGATAACTAAGGACTGATCTTGACTTGTATATCCTCCTTGCCATTGTCACCAGTGGGAAGGGTTTCCTGAAAATGGCATACCCCTCGCAAATCGGCCACATCAGCATTTGCCATAAATAAATTGAGGTCAGATCCAGCAGGCAAGGGCCGTTCACTCCATCGCCATATCCGGCACTTGACCTCGGGTTGAAGTGAAACATCTTGGCCCTGCTTCCTTCTGAATGCAGTTCACAGGCGACTCCAAAATGCTCCAAGGGTCGCTCACAGCTTCGTGAAGCAAATGAATGAGACTCGGACAAGGAACTATTGATGTGGCCCACCGCCTTTCAGGGGGAACCCGGGGGACCGACAGGTGCACAAAACTCTCCCGTTGAGCCTTGCTGATTTGGGCTTGTGGACCGGTGATTTGGACTTTGCTGTAGCCTGTACTCTTACCTCAGCAACTCTCGGTGAGTCCGACCATACTTCATGGGTTGCAATGTTCATTGCTTGTAGTTATTAGATGTTATTAGAAACTATGTTGCCTTACATCCATATGGGCTCCAAAAATGGTACAGCACAGTACACTACAAAATGAAAATAAGAGAAAAATGATGCCAAACCAGTGGAATATTATAACGGTGCCCCAATTTAGACAAACCCATGCAGAACTTTCTCAAACAAGTGCTGGCAGTTGGTAGCTGATCAAGCTGAGCTGCTGCTTTGATCAAGGGATACCTTCACTTGATAGGCCTGCCAAAGCAAAGTCGGCTATCCCGTTGCACAGTAACTCCACGACCGCATTGCAAGCCACATCACAAGGCCTGCTCGATTTCCTTGAGGGTGGAGCCCCCTTGCAATCCCAAGCACCACCGGAGAAAACAGTTGCTTTGCTTTGTTGGTGCGGTTTGGGAAACATGCACAGAGTACCACTGCACCCCCACTAAGGTCTTTTTAAAGTTTTCACAGTCGTTGAGACGTCCTCCGACTGTTGCAACTATGGCTCAAGCCATTCAATTGGCTCAAGGGCCAATCAACTGACTGGCTCAAGATCACCGAGCCCAATCTGGAGTGAAAAGGTGCGCCAGCATCTGCCTCTTGGTGGGGTTCTCCGGGAAGGGTCTCGGTCATAGTCTGAAACCCGTGGGTTATGAGCCCAACCCCAACGCTGCCTTGAAGCAATGTCGAGCAGCGACTTCACTCAGCGTCGTAGACAAGAACGCCAAGTTCAAGCGGCTGCTCATGCTGAAGAAGTACAACATGGGACCCATGGACATGGAAAAGAAGAACGCGCGGAAACGGCAGACCAAATGCTGGACCGGCTTCTGGAGGAGATGGACGCACCTGGACAAGCACATGGGGAAAGAACAGGGACAAGATCATCAGACTCAACCCGAAGATCACTGATGGAAGGGGAAGTTGGAGAAAGTGTGATGGCACTGACCGGTGCTGGGGGAAGTGGAGCCCTAGTGCAGGTTGCGGCGGTCCGGGCTGGAGCGGGCGAACGAATCGCCCAGAATCCGGCTGTTGCGGAAGAAGTCGCAAGACCAGTGTCCTTACCACCTGAAGAACCTCCTGGACTTGAAGTGGTACGAGGAAATGGGAATGGCGGTCTGTTGTCTGGTTTGACCCCAGGTGTGAATAGTCTAACTCTTTCGGGAGTGCCTATGACACAAACACCAGTAGTTGCCCGGATGTCTGAGGGATTTCGTGAACCACCTGTTGTGGGTAATCGAGAAGAAGGACAGGGTGGAAAACACCAAAGCTCAACTGAAGTGGGTGGAGGTGCGGCTGCTGTTGTGGAAACCGTTGCTCTTTTGGAGCGACCGGGACGTTCACCTGTTGAGTCTCCTGAAGATGCACGCGTTAAACAATCGGTGGCCAGCGGCACCAACAGGCTCACCTATGATCTACCAGCCGGCGGGAGCACCTGTGGTGTATACTGCAATTGGTGGAACACAGGGTTCGCAAGTAGCTGGGATGTCCCAGCAATCCATGTGTGCTGGAGTGCCACCTACGGGAATGGTGCCTCAGTGGGGAACGGCGGTTGTGGATCCTGGGATTGTAACCGGGGTCATGGCTGCAGAGGAAACGAATCCATGGAGTGCTGCCAAGCGAGTGGAAGCTCTAATGAGCAGTCCACAAACTCCAGTGAAGGAGCTGACTTATCCCACAGTGTCGCAAGACCTGATTGATCGGGCGGACGCAAGGGAGAAAGAGAAGTATGAAGAGTTGAAACAACGAACGATGGAATTCATCCAGCGGGGCAAGACTGAGATCCAACAAGATCGAGAAAATTGGTTAGCCACGCGGGAAGAGAAACGTGCCCTGGAACGGGTCCAAGAAACAGGAGGAGGTCACAAGGGCTCTCAGTCGAGTGGGGGGTCTTATCAAACCGCCTCTCCGGAGCAGAACATCGGGCAGTGTTTTCCTGTAGGGCCACCTCAAGGTGTCCCACCCCAAGGACAACAGGTGCTAGATCAGGCAGTTCCGGGAGTTCAACATCATCATGATCAAGATCTTCAATTGAAGGCGGGAGGTCCGATGTGGCATGCGCCTCCTGCGCCCAGGGTCGAACAAGGTCTTCGGCCGATGGATGTGTATATGAATCAAGGGTGGATGAATGGAATGCCGCAGGGAGCGGCGCCGAGACCACCAATGGGAGCTCCCTGCATGGGAGCCATGGAAAACACAAGACCCTGTTTTATGGGTGAACAACCCAATCAATGGTATAATCCTCAAGCCCAAGTTGGAGGAGCACCTGCAGGACAAGATCATCGACTTCATGGAGGTTTTGCATTTCCGGGTGGAAACACCGGACCTATGGGTGGTTGTGGTTGGCCGGGGGGTCCACCGCCGGGGCAGTATGGAAATCCGGGACAAGCACCTGGTCCGCCAGGTGGTCATCAAGGAAATCCAGGACGAGCTGTACCGCCACAACAACAACAACAACAGCAAGTTGCAGTCCAAGCAGGACCTCAGGCAGGGGGAGAAATACCAGGCGAGACGTTAAGATCGGTCGAATTGCCAAAGCTGGACAGAAACGCAACATCTTTGGACTTTGGAGACTGGTTGACAGTTGCCCAACAGATGATTGGGGATGTGAGCTACACCTCAGAGCAATGGTGGGCAGTAGTGATGACTGCTGTTGAACAAGCATACCACCACTGGTTGCAAGCGGATCCACTCATGAGGCTCCGGATGGTGCCTGTGATACCTGACATGGCCCGTAGGTGGCCTCGCACAGAGAAACGGGTGGTGGGTATGCTGCTTCAAGCCGTCCCCAAGGACATCTACGAGGACCTTGTGGCGAACAGACACATGTCAGCGGGTCAAGTCATGTTCAAGCTGTACACCGTCTTCCAACCTGGGGGACAAGTGGAAAGAACTGCCCTGCTGCAAATGTTGGTGGACTGGAAATGTCCATCTAATAATGCTGCAGAGATGGTCAACTCCATCCGGAAGTGGAGAAGATGGGTGGTTCGTGCCGAAGAACTTCAATTGGTTTTGCCCGATCCTCTGGTTTTGGCCGGAGTGGTCGCAAAAATGAGTGATGCCTTGGCCAGGTTGGGGGGAGCTCAAGCTGCCTACCGGTTGTCTTCGGTGAGACAGCATTTGGGCATAGATCTCCGGCCGGGAATGCAAGAGATCCGAACGTTTTCGGAACTTCTTCAAGCGGAGGCTAGTGAAATGGCTCTCCGTCAACCGGGGAACACAACACAGGGTCCAACGACTAAGCCCAACAATGTAGTGGGGGTGAAGTCTATGAGTGGACCGGATTCATCTGGAAGTCCACCAAAGGGAGCTTCGAAGGGAAAACCAGAAGACGCAGCAGGTTCTTCCACCGGAAGGAGGGGGGAGAAGCCCGAGCTGCCGATTAACGCCGCTAATGTGGTCCATAAGGTGGCGTGCGTCAACTGGCTGACTGAGAAGGGATGCCAATATGCAGAACGATGCCGGTTTATGCACACCGTTTTGGACTCCAAAGATGGCCGATGTTTCAACTGTTCTGGAAAGGGACACTCCCGACGTGATTGTCCGGCGGGAAAACGAAGTGAGTCACGAGGTCCACAAGGTGGATCTGAAGAACCAAAGGTGGCCAAAACCACTAGAATCCGCTCAAGATCTCAAGAGAGGAAAAATGGTTCTGGAAAAGAAGGAGGTGCTGCTCAAGAACGTCCTGAACCTGTCGTGAAGATCAACCCGAGGGATGAATCCACGGTCACTATTACCCCTGTACCAGAGAAGTCCGAAAAGGTTGTAGGAGAAGTCACCAGCCTTTTGAAGGGTCTCAATGGACCGGTCTTGAAATCGGTGGGGCATGGTGGGGATCATCTCGAAGTCGGGTTTGATAATGGAACGGGTTTATTGGATGGCGGGGCGACACACCCCTTGAGACAGGGATCAACCGAGGAGATCAAGAACGCGGTGCAGGTCACTGTGGAACTCGCACATGGAGCTGCTCAGCTCTATCAAAATCCTGTGAATGGAACCCTCTTGTCGGAGGGACCGGTGGAACCAATTGTACCTCTTCGAGGTTTGGTGGAATTGGGATACACCATCACTTGGTCCCGTGCAGGATGTGTTGTGAAGCATCCACGACTGGGAAACATAGAATGTTGGTTAAGGTCTGGGTGTCCAGTGGTTCGAAAGGACCACGCTCTGGCTCTGATCACTGAGATTGAGCACATGGAAATGGAAAAGAGGACCAACCATCGGCTCACCTTGGAAGAGCCCACGGAGAAGACCAAGAAGTGGTGGGGATCACGATTTCCGGAAACACCGGACAGAATTTGGAATTACATGCGGGGTCAAGATGAAGAAGATCCGCAAATGAACCATGATTTACCATGGAACCGGCACAAAAGAAGGAGGCTGCTCACCTCAAAAGGGGTTATAGTCCACCTTTTTGCTGGAGAAAGGGCGAGGAATGGCGAAAGAATCCCATCAATGGGATTGAAGTCATCACTTTGGATATCAATGAAGGTCGAAATCAAGATCTACGCAATCCGGGAACATGGAGTTTCCTTTGGAAACTTGCAAGCCTGGGAAAACTTCTTGCTATCATCGGGGGACCTCCCTGTCGGACGGTCAGCCGATTGAGGCAGAAACAACCGGGACCAAGACCATTGCGTGGACGTTTCCATGACCGGTATGGTCTACCAGGATTGACAGACCGGGAGAAGAACTTGGCTGATTCAGATGCAGCACTGCTGCTGAAACAAATTGGCCTGTTCATAAGGTCTGAAGAATGCCGCGAGCGTCATCGTGTGAGAACCGCTTTCCTCTTGGAGAGCCCACAGGATCCGTTGACGTATGTTCCACAAGCTCGCGAAGAAGAAAGTCCAAGCTTTTGGGCATGGCCGGAGTTAATGCAGCTGCTCCGCTACCAAGGAATGGGTTTGGTATCCTTTGATCAAGGGTGCTTTGGGCACTCACGACGGAAACCGACCACGTGCCTCACAAACCTGGAGGACATGAGAGACTTGGAAGATCAACGCAGCACCAAGCACTCCGAGGCCCTGCCAAAGGACATCAAAGACCGTTGCCATTTGTCGTCCACCTGGGCGGTATGGGCACCGGGATTAAGGGCTGCCATCCGAGAAGCGCTTCACCGACATCTCAAACGGGAAGGCGATGAAACTGCGGGTGAAGAGCCACACTTGGCCAAGATGACGTCAGAGGAAGCCTGGGAAGCCCATATTCGTCAAGGCCATCGACCATATAGAAGGGATTGTAGGACTTGTGTTTTGGAAATGGGTGCAAGGTCTCCACATCGGAGGAGACGCGATGCTACGACGTCGTCATGGGCGATGAGCGTGGACATCGTGGGACCCTTTCCAAAGGTCAGGG